CGAAAACGCTGCATGAATGTGCCACCCGTTAGGGCGTCCACAACTGGTCTCATTATGCTCCTGTCTATTATCTCGCTAACGAGCATAGTATGTGCTCTGTGAATAGGTGCGGCTGATTTTCAGTAACTAACAGGCCCTGTGGTAGGGACCATGTCGCCACTCTACCAACCAGCTGGAATTTCTGAATCAGCAACGTGTTTCGCTTGATTACAATTGCTTTTCTGTTTTAGCAGCCATAAAGTTTTTTGCGTACCTTGTTAATGTCGTTTGCCAAATTGGTTCGTTTATACTTCGCTTTATTCATTTATAGCGCCTTCGAGAGGAATTGCGGAATAATTGCCCAACCTTGGAAAGAATCGACTCTCCTCTAGATCCTAGTAATGCGTTGGGACAACTGCGGTCAGTTTTATACAATAAATATTGGTGTTAAGCAAGATCCATTGAATTTATTTGGAATTCTTGAAGTTTACTTTCATTCCTCTCAAAACCAACAACGACTTTTAGCTATGTTTTTATAGGATAGACAAATGTCGAGTGCTGGGAAGTGCTAAAATGCCGTTACTACTTTCATGGCAGAATCGAAGTCCTTTGTCAGAATACCATCTGCCTACGTATGAGATCATCTTTAAAAATGGAGATGGTTAGATTTATAAGGAATTACGTTTTGATAGTTTGCCGTCTATTCTATTTGCTGATTTCAGATTTGCGCCAGGATATGTTGGTAGTGCAAATGCTTGAATTGATGGATAGTATCTGGAAAAGAAATCAACTTGATTGTTGTCTAAGTACTTATCCTGTCCTTCCAATGGGCACTAAGGTACGCACTTCCAGTAATTCCTTCCTCTTCGTATGGAGCTTATCATGAATCCGATGCAGTTGTAGTTGTTGTTGTTTTAAAGCACTTATATTTATATTTATATTTATTTATTTTAGTGGTAATACAGCACTTGCATAGGTGCATTGGTTTTGAGCAACTTTTTCCTTTCGTTGGTTTTCCATCGGTGGATGAGTTTTTATCGCTGCGCAACGATAAAGCGCAAACGTAGCACCCTTACTCGGGTGCGTAGCGTTTCTCCTCCTGGGGTCAGGTCACCTAAAATTGAGACGCCGTTCATTCGCTCGGAGCAAGCTTAGGACTAAGCCTAGGCCCAATCATAGGCTTAGGCATAAGCCAATGTGTAAGCATAAGCCTTAACCTAAGTCTAACCCAAACTTAACCTTAAGCTTCAATGATCGCGCAACTGTGGTGACCTGACCCCAGGAGGAGAAACGCACGTCTCCCCCTTACTCCCCCTCTACATAGTCCCACGCTCTAATCAGAAGGTGAAGCATTCGAATCGAACTGGTAGGCCAAACTGTGGCCTCTAGGAATCAGTTCGTATGAAAGAACTTTCTGTGAGATCAAAGTAGTGATCTTAACATAGGTTGCCCTCCGTTCATTGTATAAACCGAGATATTCGCTGA